AGCAGGGTCCAGAAGCTTCCCAGGGCCTTAAGTACTGGAGTCTTCTCATCAAGAGAGTGATAGCAGCTGGGAGTAATCAGTTCCCTCCTGCCACTCAGAAACTGAAAGTAAACCTGTACTAACATAAACTAGAATCCCTACACTCCTAAAATAAATGTTCACCTCCTTCTAAAGCACAAGACATTTAGGGTGCTACTAAAGATTTCTTACGAGCTGAATGTTTTTTTTTTTTTTTCTGATTCAGTGCAACATTTAAACTTAAACCACAGATTTTAAATCAAATTGGGGTCAGATAAAAGACTTCTGGAAAGACTGAACAAATCATGGTGCTCATTGTTGGGCTGAAAGATGAAGCTTTGTCCAATTCTTTTGAAAAAATTATAATATTTTCTGCAACTTTTAGGCTCTGTTTTTCTATCGTCCCTTAAATTGTGGTCAACGTCCCCAAAACCAACAGAATTCCTCCACCAGACCTCTCTGAGCAGGTAATGTTCTCTATAAGATGACAGGTTTGTGCAACGTTTTTATCAACTATACAAAAAGGTTCCTAATTGGTAACCGCTCCTTTCCCAGAATGCATTGAGGTTGTATGTCAACGTTTAATTATAGTTTATGTAAATCTAAAAACGAATAAAAATTAAAATCATGCTTAGTAACATTTACCAACATTCAAGTGTGGGAATCTGTATTTTGTTCTCTTTAGATCCAGGTGTTTTTGTGCATAATTCAGTGCTTTTCTTCCTCGTTGTCCTCTCCTTTCTCACTTGTCTCCAATCTTAATCCCCCCCCAGGTGTTCGTCATTTTGTCTTGTCCGTCTCCCTATAAATTCAGTGGTTCTCCTTTGTCTGTGGATTGTGCTTCCAAGCCTGTCATGATCTGTTCCGCTCGTCATTTCCTCCCTCCAAGTAAGTTTTTGACGCCCCGTCAGCTTTTGTTTAATATTGTTTAAATAAATCTAAAGTATTTATTTTTTACCTTAGAGTCTCCTGTTGTCTGTCTGCACATGGGTTCAACATTAACAACAGAAACATGTCAACAAGGAGAAAAAGGACTCATGTAAATGCTGTATTGACATTCAAAACGTTTCTACGTGTTTTCTTGGTGTTTTTTTGTATGTGCGATTTGTTTTCTTCAATTTCATTTACTTTGGTTATTTCTTACAGGCAAGATCTGCTTTTGGTTCATTCTTGATATATATTTTTTGTTTGCTTATTGGTTTTATTTTGTATTTATTGTTTGTTCTGTTCTTCTGTCTTTCCCCTGTGCCATTTTCTGTTCTTCAGCTCTTGTTCCTCAGTTCTTTTTAGCTTTTATTGTTGAATTACAAAGCTGTGTATTGTCATACCTCCATCTTTTTTTTTTTTTTTTTTTTGCTGGTTTGGTAACATTCTGTGAGTATGAGAGGATCTTAAGGTCAGCTATTACATTTTTACTGTATGTTCTAATATAAGCGTAGGGGTGGCCAAGCCTTTTTGGTTGCTGCACCCAGACTGTGCGCCAACTTTCTCTGACTTGGGCCTTTTCAAATCTAAAAACATTTTTATTCAGGCAGGCTTTTCAAGCCCAGTGGCACGCTGGCTTTTTTTCTTTTGTGGAGCATTGTTTGGCTTACATGCCACATCTGGTTTTCCCTCTGTCTTCCTGTGTCATGTTTTTTGCCTCTCTATCTGCCATGTCCACTTCCCCACAGCTCATGCACCACACCTGTTCCTCGCCCTATTTAAGAACCCCTCTCTCCACTAACCTCTGCCAGATTATCAAACCCTTTTGGAAGTAGATGTCCATCGTTTCACTCAGTCTTGATTGATCATCTTGTCTCAACCCCATGCCGGCCTTCTGGACCTCCCGCTCTGCCTGCTTCTTGTTTTCTCTCGTTTTGCCATTCTGATCCTGTTGCCGACTCCTTCTGGCCCACAGACCTCAAATTACGGATTACTCTTTGGACTTGTTATTGGATCTCTGCCCCCTTGTGCTTGACCCCCACTTTGCCTCTCGGGCTCTGCCTTTGGATTGCCCCACAATTAATTAATCACAGCGCTCCTCTGCAGCTGCCCTTCATTCAGTGATGGTGACATCATCTTATCCTGCTCCGACAGGTGGCTCCCACCTCATCTGCCTGAGAAGGTTATTGTCTGTTTGTCTGTTCACCTTCACATTCTCAGAAATCTACAGACCACTCTTTCATATCTCTGCAGACTGGCACCAGCACTGGACACCGACTCCCACCAGTAGCTGCATAACAAACTTTTTAACTCTTCTTGTTGTCCGGCTATTTTACCAAATCCTAAAACCTGGTTCTTGTCACTCTGTGTCTCATTGGTCCTTCTTGTGCTGATCTTTTTTGTAAGGTGTGCTTCCATGTCAGCTTTTTTATTCACATTTTGAATAAAGTTTTATTTAAATACTCACATTAGTTTGCATGGGTTAAACTGACTGACTGTCACAGTCAGTTTTTTCGTTTTACTTTGCACACACCTGTTACTTGTTCTGCTGATCGCCTGTTGCCAGTTACTCCTCTCTGTATACAGTAATGTTTTGTTCTTAGTGTCATTGTGTATCCCCTCAGAGGTTTACTTTAGTTCAATTAAAATCATGAAATTTTCAAGCACAAGTCAACTAAACCTAAAAACCCTAAAAGTATACAAAAGTCTATTTCTGCAAACTGTCATCCTTTCATATTTAATCAGAAGCATTATGACTTTAGCCAGTGATTTAACCATACTGTTTTTCAATTCCACAAATATATGAAACCAGCATTTAAAAAATACCACTGCCTATTGCACTCCTTCTCCTCTATATCCTCTCATTGCTGTGCATTTGAGATGAAGGAATATAAAATAAGATCTTGCTCTGAAAGTGAGTGAGTGAGTTTCATAAACACAATTGGATTAACTGTCAAAATGTAATTTAAAAAATTGCACTTGACATGTTTTAGTCCTAATATAGATGCATCATAGGCCTTTTGCGGAAAGAGAAGACACTGTTAGAAAAATTCTCGTTCACCAACTATGTTTACTCAAAAGCAAAACAAATAAGTACATATGAGCGTACACACGTCATGATGAACCTGGTCTTCTGTTGACTTTTATAACATGATCACAACACACCAACATTTCAGTGGAGTGGGATGCACCCAGGTGGGGCAGTGGACAGCTATAAGCCCCTGGGGAGCAATTGGGGATTGGGTGTCTTGCTCAGAGACACCACGATGTGGGAATGGCTGGGGATCGAACCTGGGACTTTTGGATCCTGAGTCGGCTACCCTGCCTGCTTCTGACCCCAAAATGTAGCTGAAATGAAATGTGATGTATAGCTGAAATTGAAGAACTAGCCTAAAGCAGAAAGAACACATTAGCTGAATTAGGTTTAAATAAGCAGAAATTAGCACAAAAATTAGGAAATTTTCTGCAAAAAGCTTAAATTTGCAAAAAATCAGCTGAAAAGTGTAGCTTAAAAAACAGAAAGAAGCTGAAATTATATGAAGGAAGTGGAGAACATATTGTTGAATTAGGCTGGAAAAAAGTTTAAATGGGTGCAAAAAATGTGGAATTAGCCGAAAAAGCTTAAATTAGCAGAATAACAGCTATAGCTGAAATGGTAGAAAAAGCTGAAACTTGCAGAAATAAGCTGAAAGGAGCACAACAAGCTGAAATTATCAGAAAGAAGTTAGAAGAGCAAAAATGTTGTAGTTAGCAGAATAAAGCTGAAAGGAACACAAAGCAGCTTCAAAAACAGCTGAAATTATCTCAGAGTAGCTGAAAAAGGTTTAAATTTGCACAAGGAAGCTGAGAGAAGCTGAAGCAGAACAAGGTATGAAAGGAGGAGTAAACGGTTGCAAACAGATTTGAAGGATGTAAAATGAGCTCAATTCTTTTTCTATCATGAAAAAAATGGCAGAAAAAGCTAAATATTTCAAAAAGCTAAAGTTGCATCAGGATTGTCCTGAACGAGCTGAACGTTTCGATATGATTTGTTGAAATAGCTTGAAAATTGAGGGACGAGAACAATGGTGAAAAATGAACGGAAGAAAAATGGATCACAATAGTGTGAATGCTTCATAAACATTCACACAATATAAACAATGTGGTCGTTTTGATTTGGTTAAATAAAAGTGTGAAAGTTTCAACAACAAGGTGTGAAGGTAAAAGGCGCAGAGCAGTGAAACAGCTGCTGTTTCTTCCTCCTCCTGTCTCTCTCCTGTCTCTGAACAAATCAGATCAAAGGAGCTGAAATCGAGCAGGTTCAAGGTTGGGGTGGGGTGGGGTGGGGGGAGACGCGGCGGAGCTACTGCTCAGCACCACAGACAGAGAACAGAACCTTTCACACCCATTCCCATCGATTCTGGAGGAAATCGTGGTAAACCTGAGGATTTTATATGCGTTACAGATGTTTGAAGGGGAATCTTTTTTTGTTTTTTCACTCATTATGAAGATATTTGGACCTTTTTCCCACAGTAAGCCTCATGTTGACTTGATTTCTGCATCGTATGCCTCTCTCCTTTAATTCTCAACCATATATTGTGATAAGCAGATTTATATAATATATATGAACAGTATTTAGCTGTGGCTTAACCTTTGTATCACGAGATACATTCATAAGCTTGTACTGAAGGCAGATCTTTTGTGCGTAAAAGCGGTGCCGCGGATCTCAGCCATGACGCGCGGACGCGCTGCCTGACTCGTGTATTTGCAGAGTCATATGAAAGAAATAAGGTTAATCACCCAGCACACATTTAAACAAGGTGTTGAAAGGTGACAAACTGAACTGTATGATGGCGCAGCTTCTTTAATTATAAATCTGCGTGTCCTTGAACGCAACATTGATGCGAGCGCATGCTTCTGAAATTGCATCCCAGTTTTCTTGTAATGAAATTAAAAGTAAATCAAGATTTTTGTTGGCAGAACCACGTTTTGCGCCAGTAATTCCTGCGGGTTTTAGTTTTTCTTCCAACGGAAAGCAAACTTTTTTTTTTCTTTTTCTCCAAGACTATTTGCACGTGAACTGAACAGAATGGAGGCTCTGGACCAGAACTCGTTCTTCCTCCCACCAGATCTCAACTCCTCCACAGTCTCCGATCCTCCCCCACTGTTGTCCCTCCCGCGCCTCCTGAACTTCTCCTCCAACGTGTCCGCGCAGAGCGTCCCGTTCCAGGGCGGCAGCACCCTGATGACCGCGGTGGTCTCCCTCACCGTCTTCCTCGTGGGTCTCACCGGCAACACATTGGCCATTTACGTGGTGCTGCGCTACGCCAAGATGAAAACCGTCACCAACATCTACATCCTGAACCTGGCCGTGGCGGATGAGCTCTACATCATCGGGCTCCCCTTCCTCACGACGCAGAACGTCCTCTCTTATTGGCCCTTCGGTTCCTTCCTGTGCCGTGTCGTCATGACGGCTGACTCCATGAACCAGTTCACGTCCATCTTCTGCCTCACCGTCATGTCCATGGATCGATACCTGGCTGTGGTCCATCCGATCCGCAGCACCAAGTGGAGACACCCGCGCGTGGCCAAGGCGGTGAGCGCAGCAGTGTGGGCTGTGTCCTTCATCGTGGTCCTGCCGGTGGTCATCTTCTCTGATGTGCAGGTACCTCACCCTGACAGAAGTAGCATTTAAGATGTGATGGACAGTTTATGTATTATTTAATCAAATGGT